ACCCCTCATTCGTTGTATGGCAGAGTCCACTTATAATCAATTCGTTAAAAGAAATCCATTACAATCTTTGGAAAAACAAACAAATAAGCTGAATAAGCTGTAAGTTTGCTATGCGTAGCTGTTTCCCAAAAGTTTTTGATAGTTTGATTTAAATATCGTATTCAACCTAAGCCTACATATTATAAGGAAGAAAACTTGTGATTTTACCGCCTCCCCCTCCCATTCTCCCTAAGTACATATCTTCGAGAATGAATTATAAGGAGGCTCTGCTGTATTTATTCTTGCCATAACAACCCACCACCCCACCCCCTACCGTGCATCGTTTTGTGTCTCTAGTTCTAGTGGAGACCACACAAAGTGCAAAACTTGAAATAGTGAGAGGATAATGGTAGCCTAACTGGTTTGTTATTACGAGAAGAGAATGTGTATCTTTTTCTTTTATTTGTTTACAATAGTGAAGAGTTTAAAAAATAATAAAAACAAGCCCTAAAAAAAATAAAACAATGGAGACAGTTACAATGTTTAATGTGCACCTTGTGGTGATCGAGTGTGAAATATGCCGCCCCCTTTGTGTTTTATGATAAATATCTAGGATGCGTTGTACTTTCATGTCAACTGGCGAAAGTCTTAATTGTTACTCGTTGTTCAACTGTTATAAATACGCAACACTCACTCTTCTGAGAGCTTAGAGAGCGTTTCTCCCTGGCGTGTCTACGTGTGAGACAACGCAGGGACTGTAGGACTGTGGGCGGGGAGGCTGGGGGGAAATAAACAATGTATTGTAATATATCGTGGAGTTGTTCAATTTATCGTCAGGTTTATGTGCTCGTACACTCACACACGCATGCACACACTCGGAGCGAGTGCGCGCACAAACGCACACAACATATATGTGGGTGCACCCCCCCCCCCCCCCCCCCACCCTAAATTTTCGTTTTTGGTTAGCCGTGTTATAGCTTTGTTTTATTTGTTCTATTTGACTTTTCACTAACATCAAACCTTTTAATTCCTTCACTGCCAGCAACCTGAACATTCTGCCTCTTGGGCCACGATAGCTCTCCCCAGGCCCTCCGAAAACTTTCTGCATTTGATTTTTAGCCATATTTGATTGGGAAAAGGGGGTTTGAAGATTTGTCCGTATTTGGGAACTGGTAGTGAACGAGTTAACAGTCACATTTTCATGCTTCAGTCCGAGATGCTTGCTTTTCTGAACAACACAACAA